TATTGATCTCTGAGATCTGGAAACAAAATTGTGATTCTCTCAAGGGTAGTCTGACCAGCGTGTCCAGGAAGGATGTGGACGACAACAGAGACTCCTGTTGGCTCAAGCTCGGCTCATCGTGCTCCTTGCGTGTAGGAGTCCAGTTCAGAAGTGGAGCTTCTGTGGGCACCAGGCATGGCCATGGCAACTTACTGGGCACCTGTGACTCTTCTTACAAGATGTTAAGACTGGGCCTGGTACGATAGCATAGTGGTTAAAGTCCTCGCCTTGAACGTGCCAGGATCTCAAATGGTCGCCGGTTCTAATCCCAGCCGACCTGCTTCTGATCCAGCTCACTGCCTGTGGCCTGGGAAAGCAGTCCAGGATGGCCCAAAGCCTTGGGAACCTACACCCATGTGGGAGACCTGGAGGAGATTCCTGGCTCCTGGCTTTGGATTGTCTCAGTTCCAGCTGTTGTGGCCACTTGGGGAAGTGAACCATCAGACGGAAGATCTTCCTCTCTGTCTCTCCTCCTCTCTGTTTATCTGACTTTCCAAATAAAAATAAATAAGTCTTTAAAAAAAAAAACATGTTAAGACTGAGGGCTGGTACTATGGTTCAACAGCATTCCACATCAGTGCTGGTTTATGTCCCAGCTGCTCTGCTTCCCATCCAGCTCCCTGCTTGGAGCCTGGGAAAGTAGTTGAGGATGGCCCAAAGCCTTGGGACCCTGCATCCATGTGGGAGACCCAAAAGAATCTCCTGGCTTCAGATTGGCTCAGCTCCAGCCATGGTAGCCACTTGGGAATGAACCAGCAGATGAAAGAGCTTTCTCTAGTCTCTTCTCTCTATATGTAAAAATGTACCTTTCAAAAAGAAAGAAAGAGGGGCCCAGCAGCATGGCCCAGCGGCTAAAGTCCTCGCCTTGAACATGCTGGGATCCCATATGGTCGTCGGTTCTAATCCCAGCAGCTCCGCTTCCCATCCAGCTCCCTGCTTGTGGCCTGGGAAAGCAGTCAAGGACAGCCCAAAGCCTTGGGACCCTGCACCCACGTGGGAGACCAGGAAGAGGTTCCCGGTTCCCGGCTTCAGATCGGCGCAGTACCAGCTGTCGTGTTCACTTGGGGAGTGAACCATCGGACGGAATATCTTCCTCTATGTCTCTCCTCCTCTCTGTATATCTGACTTTGTAATAAAAATAAATAAATCTTTAAAAAAAAAAGAAAGAAAAATTATTTGAATAGCAGAGTGACAGAGAAAGAAAGAAAGCTCTTCCATCTGCTGATTTGTTCCTCAAATGACTCGCAATGGTTACAGCCTGTCCAAGCCAAGAGCTTGGAGCTCCATCAGGTGTTGCATACAGGTGAAGGGGCCCAAGTACTAGGGCCAGCCTCTGCTGCTTTTCCAGGCATGTTAGCTGGGAGCTGGATCAGAAGCAGAGCAGCCAGGACTCCTGAACCAGTGCTCTGACATAGGCGATCGGTGTTGCAGGTGGCACTTAGCCCATTGCTGGCCCCAGGTGATCCAGTCTTGATGGTGGCACCAACAGAAGGAGAGGAGGCTGCTGGGTACACAGTCTGTGGGTGCTCTCATGAAGGTCTGGAATTGTGCTTCTTAAATGCCACTCTGACAGGAGTCCCTGAAAGGGAACGCCAGAAGAGACCTAGTGTCCTAGCCAAGTCATTTCATGACTTGGGGCACAGGGACAGCTTCCTGGGGAGTTGCCCTCCAGAACACAAGCTACAGATCCTAACCCTTTCCTCCCTGCCCTGGCACTTGAAATGGAGTAGTGAAGCTACACTTATGAACGGTCTGGTTCAGTGCTGCTAATGCAATAGAGATGAGAGCAAGAAACAGGTGGTACTGCCAGCCATTGTGTACTGAGTGTGGCTTAGTAAGAAATACAAGTAATTATCACCTAGCCGACCCCGCCGGCCAGCTCCACGTGTGCGGAAGAAAGCCGTTTCGGGACTTTATATCCTATATTGAATGTCGATAATTGAATGCATTTGTAAGTCTCGCTGGAAGAAAACAGCTTGTGATTTCAAGATGAGAAAACAGCCTTCCAAACGGCGGAGAGACAATATATCCCCCATCTTCACACACCCAGAAGGAGCTGTTTCTCTTGACGCTTTGAAGAGGCTGTTGGAATGATTTGCCTTTCCAAAGCCACCATTGCATTTCTCCTCTTGAATTGCCACCTAGACTCTGGTGAAGGACTCATTAGGGACCACGTTGTCAATGGGGGGGGCGGGTGCCTTCCAGGGAAGGCCCCTGTGCTGCCTGCACACAGCCTCTTCCCCTGTAGGGGACAGACGTCCAGGTTGGCAGGGGTAGTGAGGGTCAGAGTAGACCACTAAGGGAGCAGGGTTGGGGCCCTGCTGCATGACAAGCAGTGACAGCCGAGGTGAGGCACTGCAGGAAGGCACAGGCTGCACCAGGCTCAGGACTGGAGGAGCTATGGCAGCTGCTGCTGCATTGCAGAGGTGGGGGGCTGGAGTCTGCCGGCAGCATGGAGGAAACACAGGCTCTGGGCTGGAACGTGTCACCCCGTCACACGTCGCCTTAGCCTTTCTTCCCAGTCCTTTTGCTGTTGGCTTTCTGAGATCAGCTTCAGCAGGCCATTACACTAAACCCAGAAGCCATCTTGTATGAGGACTGGCTGTTACGGATCCCGCTACTCCCATCCCATACCCTCTCCCTACAGTCCACTCATCAACGCACCCGAGCTCCTGTCTGTGATCTGGGTTCTGACCCCACTGTCTCCCAGCTCAGAATCCCAAAACCACACAGTGTGGGAAGCTGGCAGCTCTCAGACCTTCTCTGTAGCCTTCCAACATGGTCACACCTCAGGGGGTCCCTTTACCCAGGGCAGACTGGGCTGTGGCTTTCAGGGCATGGCCAGCTGCTGCATAGCTCAGCAGCTGGGGCACAGCCAGCACTCACTGTGGCCCAACAGTCTCTGCAAACCAGAGAGTAGAAGAGGAACAGGGCTCATGGCATGGCTCTCCCAGGGGACATGCAGGCGTAGCCTCTACATGACTCCTGGGTCAGAGTCTGGCTGGGTTGCCCCCGTAGACAGTCAGGCAGCTGGCAGCACTGTCCATGGGACAGTGGCAGCTGGGGTGCCAGGGAGGGCAGAGAGGGGATTTGTGGGGGGGGTCTCAATAGGATGCGGCTGCTCTTATAGGTGCTTGGCTGGGAGGAGCAGGGGAGCACTGGTGGGGGTTGAGGATGCTGGTGCCCCCACCCTCAGACACTCTCTGCATCTTGTAGGGGAGATGGTTCTGGCCAGGGGCCCATGACCTAGGAGGGGATGCCGTGGCAGACTGCCTGGCGCTCTCCCTCTGTTGATTTACACACTCCTATTCTAACTCTCTAAAATCAATCTTTCCTCAATTGCCTCCTGGCTCCAGCAGCGCGTCCAGGGTCTGCCCTGCATGAGCAACTACAGTCTTCTCCCAACTGATGGAGAGGAGAGGAAGAGCAAGAGGGAGAGGGTGGAAGTGGCCCTGCTGGACTCCCTGATGGGCCTGGGGCATGGTGGTGCCCCTCTGTGCCCAGCTTATGGAATCGCTGGCAGAGCAGGTGCTGCCTAGAGACCTCTGCCCAGACAGGCCTGGGTGGGCAATAGTCTAGGCAATACCCCTCCCACCTCACCCCCCCACCCCAACTCCTGCATCACCACCATTATGACTGCCCACAGACAAGGCTCTGCTCAGTTGGTGGGCGGTCCTTCCTATTGTTTTGTAAACATTTGGGATAATTAATATGGAAAAGATATGAATAAGTGCTGAGAGCTGGCAGCTGGCTTAGTTTGGAATTATCTGTTTTCAAAGGGAGGGGAGAAGGGCAGGGAATAGTTGGAGGCTGGGATACCCTGCTACAATCAGTGCTACCCCTATAGCCCCTTCCCTGCGGGGCTGAAGGGCAGGTGGTTTTTTGAGAGAGAGGGCAGAGCTGCTGCCAAGTTCTCTAGGACAGGGGTGGAGAGGGGAGGTGGAGTCTGCAGCAGGTACCTCTGGAAGCTGCTAAGAGGTGGGCATGGACAGACCCTGGAAGTCAGAGAACCACGGATAGGTCCACACCAGAGGGGAGAGGGGGCTGTGTGGAGGGACCACCCAGCCCAACAGCTCTGACGCTGTGCCACAGGCTAACTACGTTGGTGACAGCCTGGAGCAGGTGGCCCCAGGGACTCCCAGTTGCCTGATAGATGAGATCAGGTTGGCCCTGGGACTCCAAGAGCCACACGCCAGATGCCTTTCACCCCCACTGCCCCACCTGCCCTGCATAAAGGGACTGTTATTCTCTGGTCTAGAAGGGACAGAGCCCTTAGCTTGCACCAGCCTGGCCATGGTGACGCACATCCCAGTTTCAAACATACAGACACAAAGCAGGCACCACTCCCTTGTCCCCACCTCCAGCTGGGGCCAAGAGCAGGAGCCCTGGAGGTACCTGTGGAATCCTGTCTACACATATCTGTAACACACTTGGGTGGCCCAGGACCCCAGGTACACCCTCCCCCACCAGCCCTGGACCTGCCTCTTCTTTTCACTGAGCTGGCCTCCTGCATGCGAGATCAGCCATGTGACTGATTGCTGTGGGCCTCAGCCTTCTCGTCAGTGATATGGCACGAAGGACAGTGCCTACCCAGGGGTTGCTGCTGTAAGAGTTTTGTGAGCTAACATTGCAAAGTGCTGGCAGCTGGAGGGCAATTTCTGCGTCATGAATCACCCTCTTCCCTTGCCCCACTGGGCAGAGGAGCAAACCCCCCAACATAGCTTTTTCCTCCTGAAAAAAACAATGTGTTTTTGCCACGGACCCTGCCTACAGCAGCGGCCCCAACCAAGCCCCTCCAACACGCTTCAGCGTCTATAAGGTTCCGCCCCGCTCCTCCGCAGGTTGATGCTGGAGGGGGCGTGACGAACGACAGGCCCCGCCCACAGGAAAGCCACGCCCAACCATGGACCCGCCCCGGGACCCGCCCCCACAATGGAACTTGGCTGCGCTCAGCTGACGCCGCACTTCACGTGACGTTCGTGCGCAGTGAACATGGCGGCCACCAGCGGGTGAGTGCTACTTTGCTCCCGGCTCCTGCCCGCCGGCTCCGAGAGGGGACCACAGTGCTCCTGCTAGGACGGTGGACGAAGTGCCCCGGGCCCAGGCAGGTCGGGCTCGCGCTTCTTCCTGCGGGCCTGGCGTTCGAAAGCAGGGCGGCAAGCGGCGACGTGCCCGGGGTCGGGGTGGGTGCTGGAGCCCGCGGCTGCGCTTGAACCTTCCTGCTGCGTGGCCGCCCCACGCGCGTTGGCCGCCGGGTGCCAGGTGCCAGGTGCCCAGCCGGGGGCTTCTCGGAGGAGGCCGTGTTTGAGCCGAGTGCTTCCTCGCTTCATTCAGGGTTCACCTCCTTGGAGAAGCTTTCCCGGCCGCCCCTAGCGCTTGTGTTTGTAAGCTTTATCCTTCGTGGTCTCCTGCAGAGACTACGAACTTGAAGTTAATTGTCTCTTCCCAACTTCTGGGGAATTCTGGGACCTGAGCTTGCACCCAAGCTCCGGGTCAGTGCTTCAGGTGGGAGTCAGTGTGGACGGCTGTGGTGGCTGGAGAGTTGCAGGGAACTGTCCCAGAGGGAACGCACAGGCGATCAAAGGTGAATAGACAGAGGTTGACTGTGGAGAAGATTCCAGGGAAGAGGAGGGTGCATTCCTCGTATGCCCTCGTATGGTTGCCCTCCTCCCCTCTCCAGACTATTCTTCAAGGGTTGAAAGGGTTTTAATTCAGTTTCTGTCTGCTTTTTTTTTTCTTTTTTAAGATTTCTGTATTTTAATTGTAAAAGCAGATTTAAAGAGAAGGAGAGACAGAGAAAGATCTTCCATCTACTGGTTCACTCCCCAAATGACCATAACAGCCAGATCTGGAGCCTGGAGCTTCTTCTAAGTGTCCTGTGTGGGTACAGGTCCCGAGGCCATGGGTCATCTTCCACTGCTTTCCCAGACTACAAGCAGGGAGCTGAATGGGAGGTGGAGCAGCCAGGAAAGGAACTGGTGCCAATATGGGGTGCTGGCCTTTGCAGTTGTAGGATTAACCCGTTGAGCTATCGGGCTGGCCCCTTCAGTCGGCTTGCTCCCCTGGGATGGATGTGAGTTGGGTGGGAAGGTATATGGGCTCCATGGTGCATGGGGGCTAGATAGTAGGGTAAGAGGAGATAGGAGAGATTCCAGGAGGGGAGCTGAGATTGGAATGGGGGAGCTGGTAGACGGCATGTATCTTCCATTTGGGAAGGCAGGGAGAATTGCATCTGAGAAAGAAGATTCTCTGTTGGTCCCGATGCGAGCTGGGAACACACACATACTGCTCATTCAGTGGGCGCCTGCTGTATTCCAGGAGGAGCACTGGGCCTGCCTGCCCTGAGATGCTCACAGGCCCCTGGGGCAGCAAATCGACTTATGGGACTGCCTTCCACTTTGCCTGCCTCTCTACTTGCTGTGTGCCGAGGAAGGGTGAAGGCTCTGAGCTCAGAGGGGAGTATGAATAGGTGTTACTGTCTGGATGACCTTTGTGCTACTTAATAAACCATGAGACACACTTTCGGTGGAGAACTCTGTGTGGGAAGTCCAAAGTGGGTGTAAGGAACTCTGGGCCAGACTCTTGAACCCAGCCGATGCCCCTGTCTTGAAGAATACAAGGGATAGGTGCATGCTGGTGCTCAGCTCTGAGTCTGTTAGACCTCTGTCTTCTAGCCACAGCTCCAGGGACTGCATTTGGGGTCAGGATTCCAAGTTGGTCTGAGGCTTGCAGAGGGGCCACGTTGGTGGCTGAAGGGCAGGGAGCAAGGATCTGGCTGGATCCTGGGAGGATGGCTATTAAAGCACCTGACTCTTCAGGCCGTGGCACAGAATGGGTGTCTTGGAGGAGCGTGCTATAGGAGGGGATACATGACAGCTGCTATGGAAAGTGACACCTGTGGTGCTGTGGGGCTGCGCTGTCCCTGATTTGAGCCAAATTCCTTCAGGAGAGGAACTCCATGTGTTTCTGGCAGTGGTCTGCTCCCACCTGTAGCCCTGAGACCCATCATACTATTAGGCGTTGTGAGCCATCACACTCATCAGGTTATGGCTCCGGGCTCCCTGGGACTTGCACTAGGGTTGTCTGTGGAGTTGTTCCAGGGCCTGAAATAGGGCAGTCCCTTGGATTTCTGGGTGACTGGTATCTTCAAAACTCAACATGCTCTTCTTAGGGAGCCTTTTGGGTTGGTCTTGCTGGAAAGGGGCTTCCAATTTGAACAGAGGGGTCCCACAGCCTCCACAGGGTATGCTGTGAGGTCAACGTCTTCCCATTCCCTGCACCTAGTGAGATGTAGCTCACCTTTTCTGGAGCCTTGCTGTTCACAGACGGGGGTGAGACAGCTCCAGACAGACTTGCCTGCAGCTACTCTCATTGTGCCTTTTGTGTTCAACTTTCCTCTTCTCTTTGTCCACTCACCTGTTGGCTGTGGCATAGCCTTGCCCTCTAAAATGATTACATAAAATGCTCCCAAAGTGTTTAGGTCTTCTCTGCATCTTGCTCAGCACACCAGAAAATCGCTGTCTTCCCTTTGGGCAGACACTTAAAAAATTATTTTAATATTACAAAAGTGAGAGGGTTGTAGACCCACGTGGGTGTCTAATTAGGATGGAGAGGGTGGGCACCTGTGTTTACTTCAGAGATAGTCGGGGAGGGGAGAGGCAACATGTAGCTCCTGGCTATTGCCCCACATCAGCAGCAGGGGTGGAGATAGTGGGTATTTTATGTAATTTTTGAGGTCCTGATGTGGGGAAGAATGTTCCAAGGGTGTTACTTGGGTAGTCTTGATTGTTCTGAAGGGTTGTCGACTTTGTTACACCAGAATCTACCTCAGTGTGCCTGAGATCTAGGTGCCTGTTGTAGAGCCTGGCCTGGGCTGTTGTTCAACCTGCCCTTCCTTCCATCTTTTGAAGAGGTACTTGAAGTCTTCTGTTGGCTTAGATGAGCTGGCTGTCTTGTATTTTGTGTTCATCTGGGTAGTCATTCTCTCTTGCATGAGGGACAGCAACTTAGGTGGCCCAATTGGGTACCATATGCTTCAGGGTTAAACTACCTGTCTATGTGAGGTTGGGGATTGAACCACCTGTCTGTCTGAGGTTGGGGATTGAGCACAGTTGTGTAGTTGGGCAGCCCCTTAAGAAACCTCACCTGGAAGGTTCTGAGACCTTGTGCTCAAGTGTGCCAGCTGGTGTAGAGTTGGGCTCAGCCTGCCCCACTGTGCCAACCAGTGCGCATACCAGCGGGTACAGCTGCCTGGTCAGTCCTGCCTCTAACCCTGGCACTCACACAAACTGCTGGGTGCTACAGCCTAGCCCATCCCAGCCCATCTCTAGGCCCAAATCTGGTGCACACCATCAGTTGCTGCAGCCTGGTGGGAGTGATCCTGAAGAAGCCCAACCTGGCCTTCTCCCAGCCCCAGTTCTCGCATGTACTGGCGGGTGCTTGGGCAGAACACTTTTCCATTAAGTAGTGTGTTTTCCTCATAGCAGGGCAAGTTTGCTTCCTTTCTTGCCTCTTCTCTTGGAACCCAGGGCCAGTTCAGTTTGTATCTGCATGGCCAGCCTTTGGCTGCCTTGATGGGTGCTTGGTGCTGTGTGAGTGAAAGGGGATATTACTCCCTTTTCTGCCTGGAGGGTGCAGTGATGGAGGACAGGGGGACAGAATTCAGAGGAGTGGATGAAGAAGTAACTTCATTTCCTTCTCTGGTCGGCCCCCAGGGAGCTGTCGTCTGGACAGGGGCTCCCATGTGCTGTGAGGTCAGCCTGCTCCCATCCTCCTGTGGAGAGGGGCCCCATCAGCTGTGCCTGACAGAGGAGCTGTGGCAGAGCCAGTGAGCCGCAGCAGGTGGGGCACCCTGGGTGTGTACCTGTTGGTTCTAGAATCTGCTGTAGTCAGCACTTCTGGAGAAAGTATCTGGAGGAGTCAGCTTCAGGGTCAAAAGCCCGTCTCCACCCAGATGGGAACTTTGGGCTCCTAGGCAGAGTCCTCAGGCTGGGCCTGGGAACTGCCATTAGGGATAGATGTGTGATGGCCCTTGAGTGACCCCTTTGCCCACCCTGGCTCTTCCCCAGCCTTGTCCTAATTCCACCCGGTGTCCTCTTGGTCCCTATCCCCTGTGTGCTCTTGCCTTCCTGTCACCCCCTGGAGAATCCCCTACCCTCAACCCCCTCAGGAGAAAGGGAGCAGCCGGGTCTTGAACCGGCACCCACATAAGATGCTGGCACTGAAGGCAGAGGCTTAACCCACAGGCCACAGCACTGGCCCCAAAGAGCAATGTTTTAAAAACATTTTATTTATTTGTTTTCACTTTACTTGAAAGGCAGAGAGACACAGAGATGTTCTGTACTCTGGGTCCCTCACTCCCCAGGTCCCCACGACAATCAGGCCTGGGCCATGTCCAAGCCAGGAGCCTGGAACCCCATCATCGTCTCCTCCATGGGTGGCACAGACCCAGGGACTTGAGCCAACACCTGCTATCTCCTAAGAAGTCCATTGGCAGAAAACTGGTTCATAAGTAGAGCCAGGACTTCAGGCACTCTGACATGGGAGCAGGCATCCCAGATCTTAACCACTGAGCCAAACACCCAATGTTTAAGATGCATGAAATGCATATAGAGGATGACAAGGAGAACCAATTATATAGAAACACAGTTAATCAGCATATTAATTCAATTTGTGATGGAGTTGCCTGTGCCTCTTTATGAATGCATGAAGGAAGAAAAGTGAGCTGCACATCCAACAGCCACCTTCATTTTGAAGTAGATATGAGCATTTTGAGATACTCTGCCAGAACTGATGTGACACGGAGATGCCCGTGATTTCTGTGGATGACAGATTTCACGCATGTTGCCACTTCCGGCACCGCCTGGCTAGCTGCTTTGGTGAGTAATTGAAGGAAGCCTAAGTTGAATTAAACATTAGATAAAAAAGTAAATGAGGTTTTTTTTTTCCTCCATCCAGTGAGCCCAAGCCTCTCAATTCTTTGTATAGCTCTGGTGGGGGAAGGGGTGTTGGTGAGCCCTAGGTAAGGAGGCTGTGGAGAGTGAGCTCAGGGCTGATACAGAGGCACACACAGGCTGTGTGCGACAGGGACAGCCATGGGGGTGATGGCATGACACCCTCCTTGGTGGTGTGGCCTGGGCCTGGACCTTGTGGGTGTGCCTTCTTTTACGCTGGGACTTGGGCAGGATGTGGCCTTTGCCTTTTAAATTCCAGGTGCCAGTTAAGAAAAGCCCTGGTGAAGATGAGTTGGGAATATTTTATGGGAGCCATTTTTGCTGACTGTGGGGAAGTCACCTGTGTTGGCTCCGGGCCCAGCACTCTCTCTTGGGATGCTGTGTGTGCAGTGAGAAATCAAAGGGCAGGTCTCTACCCACCTTTATTTGGGGCTGTCTTGCGGTGAGTAATGACCGCAGCGTGCCGCGCTGCCTGCTGCTTGGACTGAGCTGCCCTTTGCGGACCTGCAACCTGTTGTTGTCACGGCAAGTGGGGGAGATGGAGTGGAGGAGATCTACATTGCCAGGGGTTCCGGGAAATTGTTCCGGAAACCCCACCCCACCCGCCCACCTGTGGATGCTGAAATCCCTGATATAAAATGGTGTAGTATTTCCATAGGACCCGTGCCCATCATTGTGTCTATCTTGTTTAACTTTATGTCAGAGACAGAGACACTCAGGCATACAGAAATGTCATCTGCCAGTTCCCTCCCTAAATGCTTCCAATGATCATTTGGCTGGCCCATGGCCGCGAACCCAGAACTCCAGCCAATGTCACAGGTGGCAGGGACCAAACCACTTCCAGCATCTACATTGGCAGGGAGCTGGAGCTGGGCAGAGCTGGAACTGGAAATCAAGCCCCAAGTACTAGGATATGGGACACAGTCATCTTGACTGGCATGTTCACAGCAAGGCCAAAGTGACCCGTCTCCTGTAAACTTGACTTATTTAAGTGAAAGAATTAGGGAGAGGGAGAGACAGATCTTTTATTTACCTGTCTGAATGGCTGTGACATCAGGGTAGGGTTGAGCCAAAGCCAGAAGCTTCCAGTGGGTCTCCCATGTGGTGGCAGGGGTACCTACATTTAGACCGTCTTCTTGGTTTTTCCAGGGAGCTGGATGAGAAATGAAGCAGATGGGACACGAACCAGCATGCATGCTGGTGTCACAGGTAGCAGTGTTACCTGCTATGCCACAGCATCAGTGTCCTTCCTGTATGCTTTGTCATCTGTAGATTGCTTACAGCATAGAATGCAGTGCACACCCTGTCAGTGGTTGTTCACACCCTACTGTGTAGGAAAGGGTGACAAAAAAGAAGCCTGTGCGTGTTTAGGACAGTGCAGTTCATTTCTCCAAATGTAGAGTCTGAGGGTAGGTGTTCGTTTACTCTTGTTGCCGACTGCCCAGTGAGAAGTGGCTCATCAGGTTTGCACTCCTGATGTGTTCCTTGGGATGGTTGGGCCCTAGAGTTTGTGTTCAGCTCTCTGGAAAGCCCTCTGTGCAGGGGCATGGCTTCAGGCTGGGTGGAGGCAGCCCCTGGTGTATGTAAGCATGGTAGAGTGGAGGGAGGTGAGGGGTGGGGCTGGGCTCTGCTGGGCTAAAAGGCCTGGGGTGGGGGTGGGGTGGAGTTGGGCATTCAGCCCGGGCTGTTGCTGGGGCATGAGCTGAGCGAGGCTGTCTATAGCAGTGCCCTAGGGTTGTGCCTGTGTGCTGTTGGGGAGCCTGGAGACAGGATTTCTTCCTCCCCCTGCTTGCACTCACCCCTCTGCTGAGCGAGGGGCTCCCCCAGTGAGAGGAAAGGGCCAGGGAGGCCACATGGGATCCCGGGCACAAGTGCTAGTGGCTGCACTTTCAGTTCCTGGTGGGGACAGCTGAAAGGCCATTGTGTTTCCTAGCTGTCACCATGTTCATCCTGGGGGCTGAGCATGGCAGATTGGCAACTCTGGATGAGGGGAGCCCTGGTATTCACCCCAATCCCCCATCCCCAAGAGGAGAAGACGAGCACATGCTGGGGAGGGTATTCAGCAGATGTGAAGGGTTCCTGACCATTCTCCCTTCCTGACCAGTCTCTGCAGTCAGCAGAGGTCTGCTACAGTCTCCCCTCCGCCTGGTGCTGTTGTGGCTGGGAAGTGTGTGGCTGTGTGGGTTAGTTGTAACATCGTCTACACAGCAGATATTTCTTGAGCACATGCTGTGTGGTAAGCAAGTTGCTGGGCACGGAGATGTGACAATGCTCAGGGTGGCCCCAGTTTTGCCTGAGTGGGTAGGGCACCCAAATATCACACCTGTCTTTCTGTTCCAAGGTGGATGGGTCCGTGGCCCTGGCTGAAGCCAGTAGTGCCCTCAAGGGGCTGACTGGAGAGGTGAATGCAGGCACACTTAGCACAACTGTGGGCAAGGGAAAGGGGAATCCGGGAAAGAAGAGGAGGGAAGTGGTCAGGAGCCCAGCGAGGAAGAACCAAGTCCTGAAGAATGGATGAAGAGAGAACCACCTGTACTGTGACCCAGGGCAGCTAGGCTGGAGCCGTGCCCATGGGTGGAGAGAGGTTGAGTGCCTGCTGGAATGTGCGTAATTTAAAGGGCCTTTCTGGGGTGGGTGCCGACTGAATTGTAGGGGAAAATGGGACCAAGAGGGCCATTGTCCACATGGACACTAGACTGAGCCTCTCTGGGCAGGTGGCCCTGGGCCCTGGGAGAAGGGATTTAGTTCTGAGCTTGTATTGGCGGTAGAACTGATGGCTTTGCTAAAGTATCAGGGGACAGGTGACAGCAGGGAGATAGCTTTGAGGTCTTGCTATGCACCTTAGTTGGGGTGAATGGTGTCTGATAGGTGGGGATGCCTGGTGGGGGGCTCCAGTGGCATGTGTGGATCTGGTGGAGGTGCCATTGGGATTTAGAACCCACAGGCAGGGTGAGCTCAGCTGGTGTAAGAGAGGCAGAGGACCAGGATTTGGTCAGGCCAGGAGGCAGGGTGATTGAGGATGGCACTGGGCAGAGCTGGTGTTGGGTAAAGAGCCCAGTCTCCAGTATTGTGGGCCCGAGAAGCCTGGCAAGGACTAGAGGTGTGGTGGGGTCATTGTGGCCTGATGGGGTGCATGACAACATGTGGAGGTATAGGGGGATGGCTAGGCAGAGCCTTGCAGGGGCAGAGACCAGGTGACTCTGGGGAGAGAGACATGTTTACTGCTGGGGGTGCAGTGTGTGTGTCTCAAGAGCAGCATTTTCCAGTGTTTCACCATGAAAGTAACATGGCTGGACTGGGTGGTGCTGTGGCTCACAGGCTAATCCTCCACCCTGTGGTGCCAGCATCCTATATGGGTGCTGGTTTATGTCCTGCCTGCTCCCATCCAGCTCTCTGCCTATGACCTGGGAAAGTAGTGGAGGATGGCTCGGGTCCTTGGGCCCTTGTACCCACATGGGAAACCTGGAAGAAGCTCCTGGCCTTTGGGTTAGCTCAATTCTGACCATTGTGGTCATTTGGGAGTGAACCAGCAGATGGAGGATCTCCCTCTGTCTCTCCTTCTCTCTGTAACTGTGCCTTTTCAATAAAAAAAAATCTTAAAAAGAGAGAGATGGTTGGACTGCCCACATGTGGGTGCTGAGGATGGTCCTGAGGCTGGAACAGTTCTGTCACTGGTGTGGGGGTGGCATGGGTGTGAGGTTGGAGAGAAGCCTCCAGTGGAGCAGTTACATGTGTGTGGAGGTTCCGGGGCAGATGGGGAAGCCTATGTGGGGTGGGTGGGGCATCTCCCTGCTCTGCTGGGCTGGCTGGGTGAGTCCATCTACAGCATCCACTGTTCCTGGTTGGCCCTCACTGTGTGCCAAGTCGGGAAGGGTGTGGCCAACAAGGTCCTGAGGTCTCCTGGCAGCCCAGGGAACACTGCATGTGGCTCACAGGCAGGCTTGCTGCATGCTGGTTGCGGGTAGGGTGGGCACACTTCTGTGCTGACAGTATCCTGTGTTTGTGTTTCTTTGCAGACCTAACTTCTGGCTGGGGAACGAGACCCTGAAGGTGCCGCTGGCACTCTTTGCCCTGAACCGGCAGCGCCTGTGCGAGCGGCTACGGAAGAATAAGGCTGTGCAGGCGGGCTCCCTGGTGGTGCTGCAGGGCGGCGAGGAGACCCAGCGCTACTGCACCGACACTGGGGTGCTCTTCCGCCAGGTAAGGCCCTTGCCCCACGCTCCCGCTTCTCCCAGGGCTTGCCTTCCGTGCCTGCTGGGCACTGGGCAGCTCTACTTTGTATGGACTCTGGAGACGGTACAGGACCAGAGAGCCCAGGCAGCCCGTTTCCATGGCTGAATACAGTTGGCACCAGGCAGGCCTGGCTCTGTGAGGTCAAGGTACAGAAAGAGGATAGTCTCAGGGGAGCAAACCGGCGAGGCTTTGCGGAGAAGGTGGCATTTGGGGTGGGCCCTGTAGGTCAGGCTGAGCTCAGACAGGTGGGAGGAGAGTGGGCACAAGTGGACAAGCCCAAGATGGGGTGGGAATGGGCAGCTTTCCACAAGCCAGGGAGCTATAGACGGGTAAGGTCCTGGAGGGGAGGGCTGAGTTCTGACCGCAGTTTAGGGATGGGGTGTGTGTGAGTGAGTGAGTGTGAGAGAGAGAGAGAGAGAGAGAGAGAGAGAGTGCGCTATGGGGTGGCTTGTCTGTGTGGGCAGGGTCCTGGTCTGTGTTGACCCAGTGACCCACACTGGATCTCACTGTCCTCTCCTGAGAAGTGGTCCAGGGGCTCCCTGAAGGTTCTGGAGGTGACATAGGGCTGCATGTGGTGGCCTCAGCTGTGAATCAGTCAGCAGGACCAGGAGTGAAGGCACCTGAGGAAGGAGGATGCCTGTCAGAGAGCAGGCAGGCTTTAGCCGGATGCCATTCCTGCGAAGCCTAGCATTGCACCTGTTAGGTTCAGGGGTGATTGAGAGAGAGAAGAAAAACTTCTAGTTTCAGGCAGAGTTTTATTAGTCAGGGGAGAAATCACTTCTCGGCCCTTTGGCTAAGATCAAATATAGTCAGAGGAGAGAATCTGACGGAGTGCTCCCTGGTGAGAGACGGTCCAGGACCGCTTACACATGGCGGGGGTGACTACATGAGCGAAATGGCCACCCAGGGTATGGAGCACTGGGCTTTTACACATCTTAAGCACAGGGGAATGGGAGAAGGCAGCAGTTCCTTGATTTTTACGTGCAAGTGACATGTAGTGAGTGATTTGTAAAACGGGGTACTAATGGTGGTAGGCTGAGAAGAGGCTGAGTGGTTCCTGTGGGGGCATTCCAGGCATTCCCGAGGAGATGAGGCCTGGATGATCCATCATGGATGCACTCTGCTCAACCCAACAGCACCCATTTTACAGATGGAGACATTAAGACTCAGGGGGGACTTGACTTGCTAAGAGGTAGAGCTGGGATCAGAACTCCATCTGCCGAGCCCAAGATGAGGTTCCTTTCCTCCTCATTGCCAGGCCTGGGGCTTGGGTGTCTGGGCCCAGTGGGCATGCCAGAACCGCCCTGGAGATGGTTGGAGCTCAGGGGGCGTGCCTGTCTTGTTTCTAGGCTCTGATGGTGGAGTAGGGGTGGGGGATGCAAAGCTGGGCCAGGGGACAAGGTGGCAGGCATGGCCTCCCCAGCCAGCCACAGGCTAGCTGACGATGGAGGCCAAGAGTGGGTGGCGAGGGGGATTTTCCGGAAAGCACTGCCAGCCCGAAGGTCCCCTCCCTCTGCGGCCGCACGCCTGCAGCACCACACAGGGCTAAATACGGCTTCTCTGACGCTTCTTGAGGTTCGCAGATTCTGCGATTTAAAAACCAATTTCCTAAATTCGGCTGTTGGCTCCCCTGCGGATGTTATGCGAGGTTAAATTTGGATGAGATCCTCCTCCACCTCGTACCTTTCTAACGTTGCCGGAGCTCAGTGTTTATCGCTCAACACTGCAGTCAGCTGCCCTGGGGATTGGGAGAGGGAATTGTGACCTCCTAAATGGAGGAGTGCAGCTTGGCTGAGTGTGGGCATCCAGGCCCGTAGGGTGGCAGGAAGCACGGGGCAGGTGTGTGCTGCTGGGTGGGTGTGTTCCAGCAGGTCTCAGGGGGTCTCAGGGGGTCTCGGGTGTAGCTGTCAAGGTGAGGCACGGGTGTGAATCTGCATCATCAGACGGGGTTAGAGGCAGGGTTGCAGGGCCCAGGGGGCTGCCCGCGCCAAAGCATGGCAGGATGACGCATTAGAGCCTGCAGCTGGAGCAGGGACCTGAGCAATGTGTGACAGGCCTGTGGGAGGCTGCGGGGCACTTTCCAAGGGAAGAGGGCGTCCCCCTTGCCCTGCTTGCTGAGTAACCCACCTCCTTGTTCCCATCACAGGAGTCCTTCTTCCACTGGGCTTTCGGTGTTACTGAGCCAGACTGCTATGGCACCATTGATGTTGATACTGGAAAGTCGACCCTGTTTGTGCCCAGGCTTCCTGCCAGCCATGCCACCTGGATGGGAAAGTAAGGAGCATGCTATGTCTCATCACCAGGAACTGACGGGGTTGGGAGTCCAGGGACGGGCCCGTGCGTGGTGACGAGGGGCTGAGTAGCAGGTGGCAGTCAGGCTCTTCAGCGGCAGCTGCTCTGAGCTGGAGGCCAGCACTGGGTGGGGGCAACAGAACTGGCATCACAGACCAGTAGGCGGTGTTGGCTTCGAGGTAGGCTGCTCAATCTGAGCGTTCTGGATTCCAAGCTGTGTGGAATGCCTGACACTTTGACCCCAGCGGGCACCCACTTGCTTGTGATCTATGTGGCTCTGCGGCTGGTGGTGAGGGTTTGTGTGGGGCAGCGGGAGGAGCACCCTCTGAGGCACCTGATGCCTGCGTCTGGCCTCCTGTGGTTCCTCTGTGAGGCCTTAGGGCCAGATCTGGGACCAGAAAGGTAACTGTGCCCCAGCCTCCATGGCAGCCAGCCACGCCAGGGCCCCTGCGGAACCACTCCTGCCTGCTCTCAGATACTGTGCTTAACCAGGGATGTGCAAGGTGATCGGAGGGTCCCGCGCAATGCCGCCTGCCTCCCAGCCTGTCATTTCTGCCTGGAGAGCGATTATCCTGGGCTAATGTATAAATTGCAGCTTTCATTGCCTAGTGCCCCAGAACTCTCATTACCAGGCGGACAGGCGCGGCTGTGGCTGGTCTGAGTGGCAAGGGCTTTGGCTGCTGCAGTGCTAGGCTGCTTGTGGGGGCAGGGGAGGAGAGTTCTCTAATTCCTCTGCTTCCTACCCTGCCCCACCCCTCACTGTCCCCTCTCCTGCACATACTCCTGTCCTCCCCCACCAGCAAGTACAAACCCAGCAGCCTCCCTTGTTGGCCCTGCCGTGTGGCTGTTGTGCTGCAGGCTCACATACTGGTGACAGTTCTGCATGGAGGTTACCTGGCAGGATCCCAGCCTGGCCCTGGGCCTGTGGAGACTCCGCTGTTGGCAGAACTGGCAGAAGAGGAGCCAGCTCTGTTTTTCCTGGAGGTGTTTTCCTGGCTAGGCCCTTGCAAGGGCAGGTAGCTAGTGGATCCGTCCTGTCCAGGCAGCTTCAGGGGTCCTCCCTAGCCACACTTACCCCCACTGATCATCGTTATCCCACACCTGGTTGAGTCCTCACTGCTGCCCTGCTACAGAGGACGTTGGGTGCAATATGTGGTGGGAGCCGTGCACGTCCTATGGCTTGGCCCAGCTCAGCTCAGCTGCGACCGGAAGCGACCCAGTGTTCTTGGTCCAGGTCTGGTTACCAACTGGGGGCTCCAGTTCCTTCCCTGTGAAGAAGCAGTGATGCTCTTCGTTGCCCCACCCATGTCAACTTCTGCTGTCATTTCAGTGGTTGATGGTCCTTCTGGGGATGGTTACACTTGTGACATGGTGGGAGGCTGTGATGATGTCAGGACACATTGATTGGCTTGTCCAGAAATGGCCCCAGGGAGCAACATTTCTAGGTGGGATCTCTTGTTCCTTCTGCTTGGCCCCAGTCATAACTGGTTCAGTGTGTGGAAGGCTGAGAGACCAGACTCCCAAGGTACATTGTGCCTGCCACCTGGACTCCCCCTTGGGATGTTCACCCTGCGGACTGGCACTGGGAAGCAGGGCAGACTCACCCACTTGGTGAGACCTGTCTGGCAGCCAGCTTCGTCCTGAAGCCTTCCCAGCCTGGGGTGGGGAATTGCCTGTTGGGGTCCTGGGAGACCCCAAGCTTCAGAGTTCATTAACATGATCCGTGGGTTTCCACACACTGTCTGGGTCGTCTGTTACCCAAACCCTGCCTCTGAGATCTGTCTCTGCAAGACAATTCTCCCAGAGTCCTCTCTGCGCCCCGAGGTAGAGCAGATGGAAGTGGAGCTGTGGCCTTAATGCTTCCCATGAGGGGCCCATCTCAGGAGCAGCTGGTCCCCTGTGCAGCTGGGGCTTTGGCTCTACTTTACCTGGCTTCTTCCTAACCCACCCTACACCATGGCCTTTCTTCCTGGCTCAGAGCCCATTGAGTTGTCCCACCGGTCCACCCGTGAGGGATAGGCGGTGATGGAGGAAGACAGGTCCAGCAAGGGCTTGATCTGGGCCCCTGTGGACTTGTCAGCTCAGGATGTTGGGGGCTCTGAGTATGTCTCCTTGTGTTTACTTTGGACCCTCACACAGGAGAGTCAGGAGGTGTCTGTCCATGGGCCGGGCATGCACATCCTCTGAGCTGTGATGGAGAGGCTGTTCCTGCCCCCAGAGACCCTGCCTTCCACTGGCTGACCCTGGGTGAATCTCACCGTGCCTCCCTGCAGCTTCTATCTGGCAGCCAAATGGCACTTGACTTGAGGGTTTTAAACCCCAGGATCTGATTGGTCAGGGAACAGCTGTTAGCAGTTGGCTTTTCAGGAGCGTAATCTCCCCTAATACAAGAATAATGTCCTGCATCTTGGCCACAGCTGGGCTTCTGAGTGGCTGTTAGCAGTTCGCCTGTGGTCCAGCCCTGCTTTGCTGAGCCAGCTCATTGTCTAGGGCTGACAGAGGGGATTGAGTGACCTTGAGGGTTGCAAATGGGTCTGCAGGGACAGAATCCCCTGTCGGAAAAGGCTCCGTGTGCACAGACTGGGCAGGCTTGGGGAATCCCAAGGGAGGATTCTTGCCCCACAACAGATGCTGCATTCTGCATTTTGGACTCCTGGCTACAGCCACCCCGTAACTGGCTTTTCCTTTCCTCTGCTCTGGGGTGACTGCCTCCCCCCGCCCCCATGTTCCAGCTCTAGGGAGTTGTAACGTGTAGTAGGGCTGGGAAATGGCGGGGTCCGCCTGTAATCAGCAAAGTGCTGGGAGCTGGGCTGGAGGGATTACCTGGCCTTTGAGATCAGAACCTGCCAGAGCGAGCATTTGACCTTCAGCTCCCTGGCTTCCTCTGCAGTCTCTATCTGATGGCTTTTGAAAATCCACCCGGCAGATCCTGCCATTCAGTGTCGCCTGGGGAAACCTTGTGTGAGATCTGTCGCTTGCTGTGCTGAGTGTCCAACTGTCATGGGCTTTCTGATGCTGGCCTGTGTCTCTCCCCACCCCCACGCTTTTGTGTGTGTGTTAGGGGATGGGCGAGCTTCTAGTTTATTATTATTTGGTGTCTTTGCTGATAGAGGTATGGTGCTATTTGGACAAGAGAGCGATTCCCATTGTTTTCCATCAGAATGAGGCTTAACCAATGGCAGCTTTGCCTATGGCATCTGGTAGCCTCTGAGCAGATGGAAAATTGCCTCTATGATTCATCACCCTGGGTAGCTTGGGATCCCAGAGAGAGCAAGCAGCTTTGGATCAGGTCGGGGACCTCCTGTGCTTTGCAGCTTGGCCTGGACTGTGGGAGGAAGTGCTCTGCATGCCAGGGGCCGTGGCCAGAGGGACTTTGTCTAGGGCTCTGGGAGGTGCTCCTTTTGCTCTAGGAGCTGCTATGGCATGTGTGCGTGGGAGGGGTAGTGATTTGGTATTTGTAATGCATTCACAGTGTGGGGCATGTGTGGTTATTGGATGTGGTTGTTGATGGCACTGCCACCTTCCCACACATACACCTTGTATCCCAGGGACCAAAGACTTACTCAGCCTCTGTGGTCTCCCTCTCGCTCCCACTTAGATCAGGATAGGGAGCTCTCTGAGGGGCACTGGCCTTCCTGGGAAACTGATCCTGGGCCGCTTGTAACAGACACCCCAACACCAAGGCATTGCAGTCCCCTGCCAAGCGCCAGCTTCTCCTGCAGTAGCTGCAGTCCCGCTGCTTGGCTGGGGATGCTCACCCCGACAGAGAGAGCTGTGCTTTTCTCTGTGACAACCTAACGAGATCTTGAGATGGTTGCTGACTTGCTGAAAGGAGCCAGGGCCACTGCCTGTGTGGTACTGTGCACGGGATGCAGGGCAGTGGTACTGTCTGGAGCTGAAGGTGGCCCCAGCCGTGGAAATGGATGGTGACTGCTGTAATTTGGCCCTATTACTTATTCATTAGCCTCAGGCAGGTGGTCAGCTAGCCGCTGGGACCTGCTCTTTGGAATTTCATTTTCCGGAGGGCTCCTCAGCGTCTGCACTGTGTGCCATTAATTTAATAGCTCTTTCCTGCCAAGGCCCAGTCGGGGATTGGCGCTCACTGCAGAGTGAGTAGGCATCAGTTCTGAACCGGGCACCCAGCCATTGGCAGAGCAGTACTGCATGGGCCTCGGGCCCTGGGGCGTGAGAGTCCCTTTGAGCAGGGGACGCCTTTCCTTCTTGTTTCCCTTGGCACTCGGAGGGAGAGTTATCTGGTGTCTGGCTACTTGTATTCGGAGCTCCTGGATGACGGGGCGAGGTATGAGCAATGGTGGCATCTGGGCTCCAGGTAGGGTGGAGTGCAGGCCTTCTTTGTGGCCGCCTCTGGCCCTGACCAGCCTGGCCTCTCAATGACCTCTCCATCCAGCTTCTCAGAGCGACTGGCCATTCTCTTTCCCATCAGTGCCACCAAAGCATGGCTGACGAGCCCTCCAAGGCTGGCATGATATGACATTCTGCCTTCTGTATCCCTTAAGATGGCATTTCAGTGATTTTCATTAATTTTTTAAACTGTAGTTAGTCCCAAAACTTGAAAAATAAGTACCACTTGACTTCTCTCTGCTCAACCTAAAAGAACAAACTGCACAGTGCCAGGAGAGATGCTCCCAGCTTTCCACATGTCACCTGTGGAATGGGTGCTCCTTCTGAGAGCCTGTCAGGAGCTGGGCAGGTGCGTCTCTGTCCTGGAGTCCCAGCTCACACTCCGGCCGGACTAGGGCAGCCTGCTGCCCCAATCAGGGCGAGTGGCATTTGTTGGTGCTGACACCTAACTCACTTCCTCCCAACACTAGGAGGCACAGCAGCAGGTGCTCCCAGGTCAGCAGCCATTAGAGTGGCTTGAGACTGTTGGGCAACGAATGGAGAGGTGAGCCATAGCCCAGGGCCACCCCCAGTCACCTCTGTGCTGCTCACCACTGCTGGTTCTGTGTTGTGGGGTCCTTGACCTCAGCTTACTGCATGAAACAGTTCCCAGGCCTCCAGTCTGCTGTCTCTGATAAGGCCTCATTGTGACAGAGAGGGGAGAACCATGATTCCTGGTGGTGTCCCCTGGCAAGGTGATGTGGGTCAGCTGGGAGGTTCCAGTCCTCCAGAGGAGTGGAGGCAAAAAGATCAGGTGCCCCCGCTGACGGCCAAGCTGCCCCTAGGGAGGCACTGAGGCTGGCCTCAAAGCAGGGCCTTCGTATTTCCCAAGATCCTTTGGGGAGTTTGCCATTCTATTCCTAGCACAGCTGGAGGTGGCAACCCTGAGGATGGACCAACTGAGGACTGTTGTGGTGTTGGAACTGAAGCTGGGTAGGACATGTCCAGTGGTGTGTCTGCGGGTGGCCCTGCTCTGACCCTTTTCTGGTTTGTGCATTTGTACCCAGCTGCAGGGTCCACTGGGTGCTGAGGCTGTGCCCACTGCCCTTGAACCAGCTGCACCTTAGCCAGTCCCGCCGCTGGGACCTCCAGGGTCCAGGCGAGCCACCTGCCATCCGTTCCCATCCTGGAGCAGCGTGAGGCTGTGCTCCTGGAGGGATTTCATCTTGGTTAGCTCAATTCTGGGCCCTGTCCAACATGGAAGCCAGCATGATTACATCAGGCACATTTCATTCATGGCAGGAGCTTAAGGCTTGGTGAGCATTTGGGAGAACCCAAAATGGAGAAGAAACCAGGGGTATTCTTGTGGCAGTAAGACCAGAGTCTCCTCACACTGCATTCTGCTCATTGCATGAGACCATGAGCCCCCTGGTTGGCCTTCAGGACCCTGATGGAGGTGCTCACCCTTCAAGGGGATGGTTGTCTTTGAGGCCCCAGGTGCCTTCCTGTCCCACTGCACCTGCATCTCTCTCCCTGGGCACCCCTGTCTCTTCTCACCGTGCAAGAGCCCAGGAACCACAAGCCCAGAACCATCTGCTGCCTTCTGACGGAGGCTTCCTGCGGATCCAGAGTTATGGGATCACAGCAGTGTGGGTGTGCCCTGACGGACGGGCTCCCCCTACCCATGACGCATTGGTGCCCAGGGGTGGGGGAAAGATGGCATGTACATGCGTCACTGGTCTTGGCTGGCCACAGCCCACAGTGCAGTCCCTCTTCCTCTGCATGTGGGCTCTGTTTCTAGGCGCTGACTCATCTGCCCACCAGAAGCCTGGGGTGGGGGCTGCTGGACCCAGGTTGGGGGTCAGCCTATTGCAGTCTCAACTAGGGGCCTATCCCCAGTGGGCAAGGGTTGATCAGCCGCGTCAGCCCTGGGTCTTCTCACCAGCTAATTCCTTCAGGGGTGGTGAGTAAGCAGGTGTTTTCTCATCACACTGAGTCAGGCTTGCACTAATATGTTAGCTTTGCTTTAACAATGTTCCATTCCAGCCTCATTTCCTGTGCCTAAGGGTGAGCTCTCACTGGCCAGTGGGGAATGAAAGACCTGAGTGGTGTTAGCAGCTGCTGACTGCAGGTGGGCAGCGTCATAGAGAACTGAGCTGGGGAGGCAGGTGCAGCTCAATGGTCACTGTGGCCTGGCACTCCGTGTTCTCCATGTTTGTGATGGGCAGACTCATCTCGCGCTGGCCAGGACTGGGAAGGGCTAGGCTGGGCCTTTCCAGCTGAATTTGGCAGTCGGAAAGGTGGATGAGCAGGGCCATTGCCAAGCCTTGACTATGGCACTCCCTGTGCTTGCCTTTGAGGATCCATTCCAAGGAGCACTTCAAGGAGAAATACGCCGTGGATGAAGTCCAGTACTCTGATGAGGTGAGTGGCTGATGCTTCTTCTCTCCTAGCTGCTTTGGATTTCCAGGAATCCTGCACCTGCTCTCCCTGCCACCAGCTTGGCTGAATGTCAGTGACACCGGAGACCCCAAAGGACACATGCACAGCCTTGGAGGAAGTGTTCTGGCATAGTGGAGGGAAATACGATGTGGCCGTGTTGTGGCTGCTCGGATGCACTGGGATGGAGACCTGGAGGCTGGCCAGCTTGCCTGCAGCAGGGAGCCTGGTCTGACCTACATCACCCCCTGACCTTGACTTGGGTCTTCCTGTGTCAGGAGCCCTCCCCACAGGTTTCCGTTGATTGAAGTTGCTGGTGTCAGCAGAAATCCAGGTCACAAAGGTCTGTGGCAGAGGGGAGTTGGTCACCACCCCTTGGCTGGAATCTGTTTCTTGCATGGCATTTTGTGGCCTGGAAGACATGTAAGACTCTCCTCCTGGGGTTTTGAATTTGTCCTGAGCCCTAGTAGGTGGAAAGGGCTGCTCTAACAGGGCAGGGGTTGGCAGAGGTGAAAGCAGAGTTAGGAACCCTGTGGTGTAAGTGATCAAGTGACAAGGCCCTTGCTGCTGCAGCTTTAGCCTGGCACACTCACTGCTGTGCCTCTGAGTCCCATCACAACCCCATGTTCTGCTCAGATCATGCTGTGTAGAAGGTGGACTATGCAGGGGCCAGGAGGTCTAGCCCAGGCCTGGAAGGATCAATGGATGGGGCATGCATGGCTGTGTGTTCCCAGAAGGTCAAGTGTGGGCATCCTTGATTCAGGGCAGTTGTAGAGAAGTGACCAGGCCCCTGTCCCCTTGGCAGTACTCATTGGTAGTGCTGGTGACAGGAAGGTTCCCAGGCATCCTGACCAGACACATGGCACTGTGAGCAATGGTCTGCCCCAGCATCAGGGACCTAGGCTAGCCTGCTCTGGGCAAGCAGCTCATTTTAATCCCCCAGGTGGGCACACAAGCAATCATAGTCCTGCCCCGAGCTGTGCTGTCTTGGGATGCTATTTCAATCCCTCCCCATCCTTCAAGGCCTAGCACCTGTCTAGACATCCCTTGCGCTACCCATCCTGTGAACACGGTAGAGGTTGAGTTCTCATCAAGGCCCTGCTGTAGTTGTTTTCTCCCTGCCCAGGCCTAGGGCAGAGGTGAGTGAGACCGAGGCTAACCTAAATAGCCCAGTCCAGGAGGGAGTGTGGGGGTGAGCAGTACTGCCCCAGGAGCCTCGTGCAGGGGCACAGCTCCCCATCATGGGCCGATTTCTTCAATGCCTCTTTCCTGTAAGGATGCTAGAGTAGGAGGGGCCTCTGCTGAGCCTCTCCATGTTGTGATTTCAATACCAAGGAGCCTGTCAGTGCCTGCCTCATGTTAGGCAGAGAGAACAGAGATATCTTCTATCCACTGGCCAGAACAGCCATGAGTCAGCCAGGCTGAAGCCAGGAACTCCATTCCAATCTCTCAAAGGCTGGAGCAGTCAAGTGGTCGTCTGCTGCTAGTTTCCCAGGTACATTATCAAGGAGCTGGATCAGAAAATGAGCAGCTGGGACTCAAACCAGTGATCCTACAGGGTGCCAGCAATGCAGGTGGCTGTGCCACAACACCGGCCCTCCTCTCCCCAAATGAACTTCGGGTGCCATCTTCCAAGAGCTGTCTGAAGTGCCTCTGTTTCTCCCGTTTGCTGAACCTGCTGCTTAACATTGTCATCCCCTGCACCTTGACCCTCCAGGGCTCAGGGGAGAGCAGCCAGCAGAGACCCTAGTGTTAAGAACCTAAGGACCTGCCTTAACCCAGAGCTGGGCTGGGCTAACCGCTGGGTTACCACCACTGAGCTGGGTTAACCCAGCTGGTGCCTGGTGTGATTTTTGGTCTTATATCTGGGTTGGGGGAGATGCAGCTGTGTCAAGACTGATTTCTGGGGAGAAGAACTGGGCTTGGTGTGGGAGATGGAGGAGTCCTCATTATCAGGGATGTCCTCCACGATGCCATGAAGTGACAGCCCCACAGACCTGCCCTTGTAAATCCTGAATGCAGCCTGCAAGGGACAGGAGCTGTCTAGGGCTCTGGGGCGTTCTTAGGCACTCCTTCGCCATCGTCCTCACCGTCATCCCGGTTGATGAGTTTTCCCGTCACAGTGGCTGCAGCTGTTCTTGCTGGCAGTGAGGCTGTGTTGACGTGGTGGGACAGGTGCTCCCTAGAAAGCACGTGCGGACTCTGGTGACACTGACGGCTCACACGAGTCCTCTCGTCGCCCTGTGCTGCATCTGCAGCTCCTACTTGCAGGCAGGAAGGCCAAGGCCACAGCCTTGCAGGGATCTGTTCATGCTCTCTTGCCCCTCACCTGGGGAGCAGAGGGAGCGGAGCCCCTGCCTTCCAGGCCCCACTTGCTCTGTCAGAAGTGGGGGGCGGGGCTGCTGCGGGACCCTTCTGTGAAGGTGAGCTGTGCTCCGACACATCTTTGAATTTCTGTAGCTCGAAATGGAGCTAGCCAAAATGTGCCCATAGTGGGCTGGAAGATGTCCCTGGCTCCTGAAGGTGTCCAGGGACTACTCCAGTATGAAGGTCAACAAGGAGCCCCTGATTTGGGGAAGGGCTTCCTAGGCCAGCTGTATTTATTTAAGATTTTATTTGTTAAGGCAGTTATTGAGGGTGGGGGTGCGGGGAGAAGGAGAGAGAGTGCCATCCTCTGGTTTACTCCCCAAATGGCCACAAAGGCTGGGGCTGGGCCAGGCTGAAATCAGGAGCCAGGAGCTTCATAGAGGTCTTGAATGTGGGTACAGGGACCCAAGACCTGGCCATCTTCTCTGCTTTCCCAGGTGCATTAGCTGGATCCGAAGTGGAGCTGTGGGGCACCAGCCAGCACCTGTTTGTGATGCCTGTGCTACAGGTGATGGCTTAACTTGCAATGTCACTGCACTGGGTCCTGTAGGCCAGTTGTATGATTCTCAACCTCATCTACTTTCAGGCAACCTTGAGCATCTCTGACAAGCCATGGAAAGCTTATGGTAGACACCTGTCTCCCCAGAAGGAGGACCAGGAGCCCCACAGGCTGTGTGGTCACTTGATAGCACACAAAGTGTAGGTGTTTGATGGCTTGGCCAGCCTAGCTAGGCAACTCCTCCCTTCCCCTAGAGGACCTTGAGGTTATTTACATAGAAGGGGGCCTCTCAGAAACCCTCCCTGAGAGGGGCATCCAGGTGTTGATGGCAGAGACCAATGCAGAGGGCCGGTGTCTGTACCACTGGGGACTGGTCAGCTGCATGTCGTTGCCTTGTTCTCACTCTACATTATGGCACCAGGGAGATAGTAGGAAGGCCTGGGGGGGAGCAGATGTGGGAGAAACCCCTAGGACCTGGCTTTCATGGTCTTGATGTGGAGAGAGGAATCAGGGAGTGGTGGGGTCTGTGTGGGAACAGGGAGGCCTCCTCTTCTCTGATAGGGCAGCTGCTGGGCAGGGCTGCTGACCCCAGGTGCTCCAAAAGTAGCTGCGCATCCAGATCGGGATGTTTCCCAACAATTCTATTTCCGGAACACGCTCAGAATTCCAAGGGCCCTGCCAAGCAGCTGCCTGCTTATGTGCGCTACAGTTTCAGGAGGCATCCCTGGAACATGGGCTGTTGGTGGGAGCTTTATTGCTTACGGGACTGGGGGAAGCCCAGAGGCCCCCTGCATGATGCGGACATGGCTCTGTCTTTGGACCAGTGCCCTGTGAAGAGTGGCCCTGTTATGAGGGCATGGCCAGGGTCTGTGGGAAGTCTTGGATGGGCCCCAGTAGTGACTCCACACCCCACCTTTCTGCTGGCTCCTGTCCACCCTTACCTGCCAGATGGTCTCGGCTGCCTGGGCAATTGATGCTGGCTGTGACCTGGAACAAGGCAGGGGCATTTAACAGCCCTAGTTTGTGAGAGCTGATGGGTCCCTCATGACCAGGCTCCAGGGAAGGCCCTAGCATGACAGCGCCATGCTTGTGTGTGTGTGTGTGTGTGTGTGTGTGTGTGTGTGTGTGTGTGTGTGTGTGTGTGTGTGTGTGTGTGTGTGTGTGCAGGGGGGATTGTGTTTCATGCCTGTGATACACAGCCACGTTCTGTACTCCTTGTTATTGAGACCCACAATCAGGGGTGCGCTGAGAGCCTAGTGCTAATGGGTCTCCATGGGGAAAGGGCGGGAGCAGCTGCCATCCTTGGAGGTGATGGGGACCACTCAGGCAGCCGCGATCCATCAAAGACGTTGCCCTGCCAGGACTCACCGGCGCACCCTCTGCCATCGGTCTGCACATCAGGCGGCGCGACGAGGGCTGCCTTCCCCTCCATTATTCCTAACCAGCACGTCGAGAGAGTCGTTGCGGGGAGAAAAACCATCAGCTCACACATTTGTTATCCTGCTCCTCTCTCCCAAGGACAATAGCAGATGCAATCCCCAAGTGCCTTCTCACTCTCTGATTCTGCTGCCGTAATTGACAGAATCGTTCCGTGCTGATGAATGCAGACCTTCACGTCTGTGTAACAACGCACCCAGGGCCCCCTCAGGTGTAGCTATGCTCCCCCTAATGAGCCTCCCCCTCCTGCAGGAGGGGTTGTGGGAGGGGAAGGGACTCAGCCTTGGCATGCGGGACGGAGGCTGAAGGACAGCAGCCACAGGAAACACTGTGACACATGCCTGCGGGGTGTTTCACTGTGGCCCCTGCAAGGCTTGACCAGCTGTGTGGCTTTTGAATTGGCAGTTCACCTGGGATGAATTGGAATTTTTATTTAAAAAAAAAAAATTAGCGAGAGGGTCATTCACACTTCATTTATTTCCTCTTTTTTTTTTTTTTAACAGACGGATTTATTATTGATTTTAGATGCACAGTTAGAGAGACCTTCCATCTGCTGGTTCACTCTCCAAATGACCACAGTGGCAGGAGCTGAGCCAATCCAAGGCCAGGAGCCAGGAGCTTCTTCCGAGTCTCCCACATGGGTGCAGGGCCCCAAGGCTTTGGACCATCCTCAAATGCTTTCCCAGGCCACAAGCAGGGAACTGGATGGGAACAGCCGGGAGGACTTGAACTGGTGTCAGTATGGGATACCTGTGCGGCAGATATAGGCTTAACCTACTACGGCAGTTTTGGCCCTTGGAATTTTTTTTTTTAAGGAATTTAAGGAAATCAGAGGGTACCTCAGAGTTTATGGGAGCATGGAATTAAGAGACAAGCTTATTTCAGTGCCCCCCAAGTTTTGAAATCCATGCTTAGTTTTTTTTTCCCACCATCTACATTTCTATAAATTTATTCATTTGAGAGGGAGAGCAAACATATGCTCCATTCACAGGTTCATCTCCCACAGACCTGTGATGGTCAGAATTGGGTCTAGAGCTGAGAACCCAATCCAGGTCTCCACGGATGGCGGAGACGCAACCAGGCTGCCTCCCAGCATCCACGTGAGCAGGACCCTGGAGTCAGGAGTTGGAGCTGGAACTTGAACCCTACCCAGCACTCCAACACAGGACACAGGCCTGGCAACCCCTCAGCCCAACACCCACCCTTTCCTGAACTTGTTAAAAACCTCTAGTCAAACCTGGATGTGCCACATGTTCCTCCAGCATCATGATACTTGCCAGTGATAGGAAACGTGTCCAGTAGAGGAATGACTAAATTGATTTCTATCCCCGAAGGTTCAAGTCCAGGCTTTAACCACGCTTTACACTGAAAACCTGGGCGCATTATGACCCTAAAGACTCCCTCCTCTGGGAGCATGGGTGTTGGTGACTGCATCTGCATGGGTGACCAAGGGGGTGACGCGTGTAAGGTGAGCGGCACTGGCCACAATCAGAGTCTCGGTGGACGGTTACTGTCCTTGCTGTTAGTGACTGCTAAAATGTGTGTTTGAAGAATATTTAATGACAGGAAATAAGTGAAGCATATAATTTCCTCTGATCCAAATGTCATTACAGATTTCAGTTTTTATGGGCAGAGATAAAAAGTCTCTGGGGACAGGACTGCAGGTGCATTTTATCTTTTTATAGTTTTCAGTGTATTCCAGCTTTTCTCTTGGAGTATCTTTGCGTTATAAGAAAAGGGCTTATATGCATATGTCAAAACTAATCAAAATGTTCACGTTAAGTATGTGTTGGGCAGAGCATGTCAGTGATTGCTCAGTCAAGCTGTGAAAACAATGCCACCTCCTTTCTCGCTCTGCCTGTGTGGTGTCCATAGTGTGAGAGTGTAGGGTTGGGGAATGAGGGATGGTGGAGGGGGGTGGAGGTTGGTCAGAGACCAAAGGGTCTGAGGAACCACAACAGGGCAGATTGATGGATCGTGGGCTTGCAAGGGGGTCAAGGCTCATGTGGTACTTTGCCAGTAGATTGATAACCACTGATGTGGCAGGCCAGGAGGAAGGGAACAAACCTGCTGGAGGAGTGGGCCTGGGACTTTCCACCCTGAGAATAAGTGGACAGAATGACCATGATGGTGGAGGCCGGGTTTGGAGTGGGAAGGCTGGAGCCTGTGGGAGGCATGGGTGGAGGGCGGGGAGTAAGGAGGGTGGTGTTAGCCCTGGGAATGGGAAGCAGACCTAAGGGGTTTGTGTGTTGGAGGGAGGGGGCTGTATCCCATCCTCCTGAAGTGTCTTCCTGGTGGCCTGGAGACAGGTAGAATGGTGGAAAGCATGCCAGGTTGAGGTGAGGATCCCTCCCCTATGTAAGCCCTGGTCTCCTATCTGTAGGGTGGGGACCCACAGTCAACAGGGCCCACTGGATTCAGTGGGCACTGTTGTTCTGAGGTAGTGGAGGGAGGTCACGGCCGTCCAAGTTCACAGTGGCTCTAAAGCAGATTTTCCCTTCTGACCTTCCAGATCGCCAGCATCCTGACATCACGGAACCCCTCCGTCCTCCTCACTTTGGTAAGTGGCTGCGGCCCAGAAGCTGGCCGCCAGGGTTTGCTCATGGGAAGAGTTCTGAGAAGCCGCCTCCCCTTGGCAAGGCTGTAGCCAGAAAGGAGAGGATGAAGGAGGTGAGAAGAATGGCCGTCTGTAGTCAGTGGCCACTCCCTGGGATGTGCCGTGTCGCCTGACAAGGTCAAGGTGGACAAGACCCTGCGTCCAGGCCAGGGTTCAGAAGCGTGTTTTGCACTGGGCTGAGCTCCTGAACATTGGTGTGCTCCCACCTGGTGTCTCCTGTTGTGGTAGTTTGAAAAACACACCCTTGGTGCCTGCCCCTGAGGTGGCCAGGCCGCAGGGGCTGTGCTCTGGGGCTGTGCTGGGCGCGTCTCGGTGAAGCAGCCTGTTGTCCTTGTGTGACCTTGGCAGTTTCATGTATGTTGGGTGTGCACACAGCATTGCTTCCTGCCAAAGCGATCCTTCTCGCCTCTTAATTGATTTTACGGAAATAGTTATTTTTTTTAAAGCTCCTTTTTTCCTGTCTGCACTTCAATGGCTGGGAGGGAAGGCCACATTAGGTGATCTGGGTTAGACAATAGATGACCCGGGTGCTTTATTTGGGTGTACGCTGGCCACTGGCCTGCAGTTCTGGGGACAGAAGCAGTGGTGATTTAAAACACCTGCCTCCCTGGGGTGCCAGAGCTCCCTGTCTCATCTCCATTCCTGTGTGTGTTCCCCGTGGCTCCTCCTCACAAAAAAAGGAGTGGGTGGAGGCCAGCTTTCTACAATCCTGCCAGTCCTGGATCCCCCCTCCCCATCCATTCTGAATTCCTAGAAGGGCTGGCTTTGACCACAGTCTCCCCTTGGAGAGAGGAGGCTGTTTCCAGGGACCCCCAAGGATTCCACAGTTCCTGTACAGTGGTGTATTGTCTGCCTGTGACTTGTGCACACCCTCCTGCATGCTGTAAATCACCTGCAGGTTGCTTATGATGCCCAGTGCGATGTAAATGCGATGTAAATGGTTGTCACGCTGTATTGTTTCGGGAATAATGACAAGGAACAAAGGTCTGTACGTGTTCGCTACTGATAAGATTTTTCTCTCGGAATGTTTTCCACTGTAGTTGGTTGTATCACAGAACCAATGGTCTGGAAGGCCAGCTCCGGCCTTTGGGGCCCTTGTGCTGCTCTCAGGGAACGTGGGTGTGGCAGAGAAGACTGGGAGGGCCAGCACAGCAGTGGCAGTGGCTCAGGGTCCAGGTACCAGCACCTGCGGGACCTGGCTGGTAGCAGCCAAGTGTCCCAGGAGGAGGCCTTACATGCCCGGAGTATTGTGCAGCACAAGGAGTGGGTGTGCCAGGTTGGGGTAGGGTGGTGATCCTGTTGGCTCCCACCCTGAGCCTGACTGCAGAAGACAGGCTGTCCTGCGCAGGTGGGGAGACCGCCCCCTCGCCCTCTCCGCCCCGTTCCACGGCCCCTGAGTGACACGGCCTCTGTGTTCTTGCATCTTTCCTCTCTCCCCAGCGTGGTGTCAACACGGACAGTGGCCACACCTGCAGGGAGGCCTCTTTCGAGGGCATTAGCAGGTGAGTCCTGGGAGCCCGGGGACCATCTTCCTCGCCTGCCTCACCACAAGATGTGAGACATGCTGACAGGATTCCACAGGGGAGTTTGATGGGGCGTTGGGAGGATGTGTTTAGAAAAATAATTCTCTCTCTTTTTTCCCCCAAAATCTATTATTTATTTATGTGAAAGGCGAAGTGACAGAGAGGGAGAAGAACAATAAAAAAGGACCTTCCACTTGCTGGTTCACTTCCCAAATGGCTGAATCAGACAGGATTGAGCCAGGCTGAAGCCAGGGGCTCTGGGATCTCCCATGGGACGGTAGGAGCCCAAGCGGCTGGGCCAGCTTCCTGGCCTTTCCAGGCATATAGGCAGGGAGCTCGATTGGGAACGGAGCAGCCAGGACTCGAACCAGCACTGTCAGGTGCCAGTGACATGAGCAGCTGTGTAGCTCACCGTGCCACAGTGCTGGTGCTCACAGAATACTAAAGAGCAGCATCTCTCCCTCCTCTTTACCTCACCCCACTGGCCCCCAGAGGTCTGCCTGTTTCTGTGGGCACATCCCTGGGGGTTGGCTGGACACTGTCTCTGGGTCACTGCCACTTGGGCCTGCGTGGCTGGGCTGATGCTGCAGAGGGGAGACCCTTGCTCCTTGAGTGTGCGCGGAAAGGGGGCAGGGGACACCCTCGGGCCCCGCCCCTCCCCCACCACGGCATCTCCGCAACCGCAGCGTCCTCTGTTGTCCTTTGATGGCCTGGGCGGTAATGGAGGAAGCACCTGATGATTATGTATGAGCTGAGCCGCAGGACTTGTGCGCACATGTGATGCGGTGGGTGATGAGGGAGGATTACGAGCTCATCAATATGTATCAGCCCCCCGCCCTGCCCCAGCAGGGAGAGCCTCAGTGGGGCCGGGGGTGGGGGACGCCACCAGCTTGGCGTCTTTTCATCGCTCAGATCCCCGTGTCCCCTCCAGAGATTTCCTCAAGCAGCCCTGCCTCCCGCTCCCCACAGCCATCAGTCCAGCTTGTTGAGATGCTGGTCGTGGAGCCGCCATCTCTTCCCAGGCCCTTAGAAGGGGGATGGAGGCACAGCAGCTGTTCCCTCGGTCAAGCCTTCCTATATGCCCCCAGCCCTGCAATGCTGGCATTCACCTGCCTCGACCACCACCACAGGACATCTCTGCCACAGCCTCTGGGTCTCTGCCTTGTGGGCCCCCTTGCTCTGTGAACTTGGCATTTGGCTTGCCCTCTGAGCATATGTCACATCTTGTCGTGAGGGTCTCAGGTCCCATTCAGCCAAAGCCTGGCACGGGGCTGGTGCTCCCAGTCGAGTCCCAAGGCCCTGCTGGCCTATGTGTCTACATCTGTGCGGTAGGCTGGGTGGACTTGAGGATTACTTATTTTTAAATACCAGTGGGCTGTGGGGGTAGGTGGGGTATGTTGTTGGGGCAGGGCACGTCCTTGCTTCCTGCCACCCTTTCCCCCTCACATAGGCCTGGGTCCTGTGGGTAGTGTGTTGATGGATGTGGTTCTGGGTGAGGGGTGCTGGCTATCCTGGCAGGGTAGGTATCCTTCAGGGTGCCCCAAGAGGGGCAGATGGGGACCCTGAAACTGTGTCAATGTCTGGTGGCCAGGAACAGACGGCTGGAGGGATTCCCTGCTGTGAAGGCCTCCCCTGCCCTGCCCTCCCACCAACCAACAGATCCCAGCCTGTTGTTTCCCTGAGTCCCTGCAGCACCCCGCCCAGAGCCCAGAGTAGATGCCTCTGCAGTCCCCACTTTCCTATCCCATCCTCTGCCATTACCGCCCATTTGGCCTTCCGGGACTTCAGAAGCAGAGGCTCTGCCACACAGTGCACTAACTCTCCAGGTGCCAGGTTGGTCCACCCTATGGTCTATGCCAGGGCCTCCATCTCAGGGCCTGGGACAAGGGCTCACTCTATGTCCTGTGCCTGTGGGCTGGGTGGCTGGCCAAGGCCTCTGACCGGGCTCATGTGCTGCAGATGAAAGCCTTGACCGTACGTCTCTGTTGTGGGGTCCCCTGGCCTAACGGCCCTCTCTCTCCTCATCCCCCCATGTCCTTCCTCTGGACCTCACCTCTCACTGTGTTCCTTCTCCTGTAACTCCTCCATTGGGGTTTGCTGCTCCAGGCACTGCCCTGGGCCCAGTCTCTGCCTCCATCTGCTCCTTGGAAAGGTTCGTAGCTGTATTTCTGGGTACTGTGTGCAGCTGAGATGCCTGCCTCCCAGCCACCTGCCCAGGCTGCCAGCACCTGTGCCCTGTCATCTCTTGGCATCCAGTCAGGACACTGGGAGGCCTTGTTCTCGAGGGCTACTGAGGCTCAGTCACCACTCTCCCCTGCCTACCAAGTGCGTCTCCAGCTGTTTGCTGGGGATAATAATAGCCTGTTTTCCAAGCAACATGATCCTTGCTGTTCTACTTTCCAATACTCAGCTGCTCTGTCCCCAGTCGCCTCTCACTTCCCTGACGAAGCTCCCGATTCTGGAAGGTGTCACTTTTGATCCTTTAATAAAACACCTCTGAAATAACTTCCTGCCAGATCTCTGACTGACCTCTCTCTCCCTGTGACAAAAGCTCTTCCTGGCTTGTCCTGGAGGGGCTGTCCCAGACCTGCTTAATCCCTTGGCTTGTGGGGAAGAGGAACTGTTATAGAATAGCAGCCTCACCTGGCCACCCATCCCAGACCTTCTGGGCCCTGGTCCAGCTGCTCTGTGATGTTCTCTGTCAATGTCATTTCTTGGGTTTGTCTCCTGCTCTGTCACATGTGGGTTTGGCCATGGCCTTCAACCTCCCTAGACCTCCCCAGATCAGAGCCAGGCCGGCAGGGAGCATCCTGGATCTTGCAGCTGTGAGACTGATGCAGGTTAGGGACAGAGGGAACAGAGGTGAGCTGCGCTGGTAGACACGCAGGAGGCATGGGGCTGCTGAAGTCAGCGAGGAGCAGGTTCAGTGTGATTGTGCTTGGAGTCTGGCTTGGGCCATGACTGCCAGTATGGCTGGTATGAGCACTAGGAAGGGGAGGGAAGGAGAGGCTGAGATGGACACCAGGGACCACAAGCACCCAGGCTGCCTGGAACACTAGGCCCCTGCAGGCCAGGCACAGAGTCAGACATGGTAGGTGTCTGTAGCATCTGCATTGCCGGATGGCTTTTCCTGAGGCAGGACAACTGACCATGGCTAAAGAAAGAGATGGCCGTGGGTGGCCACGTGGCCTGATGGGAGGCTGTCTCCATGTGTCAGGGGTGCAGAGGTGAATGGGGGTACCCTCCTAGTGTGAGATGGGCAGAATGTGTGGCTGGGAGCCTTGGGCGGGGACAAGGAGTGACAGAGGACTCTCTCGCCATTGTCTGGGAAAGAGGGTCGATATTTTACATCAGCCGGCTCTTCAGGAAAAGCATATTTCTTATCTTTTGGCATTGACTTAAATTGCCTTGCAGAGTCGAAGACAATTGGTTACAAATTAATTCCATTTAAATAAGCAGTTAAATATGAAATGCTGAATCTGGGGGTTGTTAATGCAGGAATATTAATATTCGAAGATGGGAGTTTTAAAGCCCGGGAAGTAGAGGGACATTATTAAAACTTGACAATCACAGCAGAATGCCAATTTGTGGTTTGGGGATAATTTCTGGTGACTGTTAACTTACATATCAAGTTAATATTTAGGACTGGCTCTCTCCTTTGGCCCATGGAAGTCTCCATGAGGTGAGGGACTAAGAGGAGCTGAGAGTTTGACCTGGCCCCCTTGCAGGGGCAGCTCTGGGAGTTGGAGACTGCCTCTCCTTATTCCATGGAGAAGGCAGAGGCCATGAGCAGGATTGTTGTTTTTTTTAAGATTGATTTATTGAAAAGGCGGAGCTTCAAAGACACATCCTTTCCAACTATTGGTTTATTCCCCAAGTGAGTATAACAGCCAGACCAAAACCAAGAGCCAGGAATGCTATCATGATCTCCCACGTGCATAACAGGGACCCAAGCACTTTGGCTATCCTGCCCTCCACTGCCTTCCCAGGTATCTTAACAGTGTGCTGAACGGGAAACAGAGCAGCCAGGGCTTGAACCAGTGTTCCAAAATGGAACACCAGCACCACCAATGGTGGCTTAATGTGCTGTGCCACAGCACCGGCCCTACACTGCTCACTCTTTCTTTGTCTGCCCCCAATTTAGAACCCCCCAGGAAATTTTCCTCTGCTTCCAGCACCGCCTCCCACCCTTATAGGTACTGGTGGGGTTTTGTAGTAATTTTTACACAATTAATATATGTTTGCTGTAATAAGCATCAGGCCACACACACACACACACACACACACACACACACACACACACACAACAAGATCCATACAACTTTCGCTTACCCAAATTTACCTAAATTTCTCAACGCCCAGAATCAAAGCTTTCTACTGCCTTGCACCTGGTACAAGGCAGGGGGTGAGTGGTAGGTCTTGTGTATATGTATTGGTCTGACATGTCTAGCTGTGTGTGGATCTTTGTGAATTTTGGCATACACCGATGCACGTGTGTGTGCCTCTGCGTGTGCACCGGGGTGTGTCTGCCTGTGTGGTGTGCGTACAGAAACCTCTTAGCTTCCGTTCCATCCTCTGCAGTTTGTCGTTACCCATAGTCGGTGCTGCGGTTTGAATGGGATCAGGCTCCTGAACTTTTGCAGGAAGTTAAATCCAACAGTGATGGCATGTAAGCAAGTGTGGAAACTTAACACAGTTATGGCGACAGATCAGGCAGGGCTGGGAGGAGGTCCTTAGATCACTGGTGTCCTTGGGCTGTATTTGGATAAGGTTGACTGTAAAAGTTAAACTGGGGGCCCGGCGTGCTGGCGCAAGTGGTTAAAGGTCCTCGCCTTGCACACCCGGGATCCCATATGGGCGCCTGTTCTAATCCCGGCAGCCCCGCTTCCCTTCCAGCTCCCTGCCTGTGGCCTGGGAAAGCAGTCGAGGACGGCCCAGAGCTTTGGGAACCTGCACCCGCGTGGGAGACCCGGGAGAGG